TGTGATCTATATACTTGTACCTGCATGCTTACACTTGCTAGGTTGTGATCACTGTACTACTTGTTCCTATTTATATAACTCTGCATGTGAACTGGCCTTGTGGCCATTTGCTTGTGCTCAGAGTGTGTGGTGACTTTGTGATCCACGCTGAGCTTGCTTTGCTTTTCTTGACTGGTCTTGTGACCCCTTGTTCTCCCCCACTTTGCCTATGGGGGTGTGTCAAACTGTTATGTTCTGTGTTGTGTAGGCTGTAGTGGGGTAGCCTATATGGGGTACAACCCAATTAGGGTTAGTACTTGTATCACTTTCTTACTCAATGCAATCATTCCTGCTCATTAGATTCTGACACGGTCGGCACGTGACCGACCTGGCACTTGCGCAATGTGCGTGATGGTGTACGACGTGCTCAACTGTCTATCTGCATCATGGAAAGTAGGTGCGTGCACGTGCGCTATAGACATCTGCGGTTGCAATGCTGACAAGCTGCCGTAGTGCAGCGCTGGCATGTCAACGACTTGATGTGTTGGCAAGCCGCCTTCCAGCTGCGTTGGCACGCCATCGATTTGCCGCGCTGGCAAGCCGCCTCTGTGCTGCGCTGGAGGTCGACCTGCTTGTCTGCTAGGCTTGTTAGGTCCCTGATCTAGTTATTGTTGCCAATTCCATTTGCATCAATGTTCTCCGATTGTTTTTGTGAAACTCTTGCTCTTTTGCCTTGTGAACACACAAGTGTTAGGGAATACAAGGAACCATAGTCCAGCACCCAGTGTAGAGTGACTCTCCGCATGGTGGGGGGAGCACGGACAGCCCCTTAGATTACCTTCAGATTAGTAGCCAACTTATCACACACCTAAGTTATTGCTACCCTGGCAGCCCAAGTAGACCATGGTGCCCACCTCCAGAGAAGCTAGAGGCATGGAGGAGACCTTGGGGGCACAAGAGTGCTCGACGACGCCACACGGCTGGCGTGACATCAACTCCTGCTATCAGGAATCTATACCTTCTGCTAGTATTGAATAAGCTGAAATCATATGTAGCAAGCACAGCTAGAGTAGTTTCGCTGTTGGATTACAGTGCCGGGTACGAGATCGCTGGATAAGAGATGTAGGAGGTCAATCAGATCTAGATCTGGTCTTGACCTCCAATATCTTGTTTCCATGATTGAAATTGGTTGGGTTTTCTAGGTCATAAGCGGTGAATTTGGTGGCAAGGAAGAAAATTGTTGGAAACAAGTTTCTTAGGCAAATTCGTGGAATGGGGTGGGCTATGAAAAACGGTTTCAACAATTTGTGCTCCCATTTTTGCGCATAAAATCCTGCACTACCTACTAGATTTCTAGGTTTTTTTGCCTGCCCAGGCTTTTTGTCACCTGCCTGTCCGAGTGTCAAACCAGCGTCATTTTTCTCGAATGTTGTGCCCGCACTGCACCCGCCATCGCACAGGGACGGTTGGCCAGGGGCAGATGCATTCAGTGGGGGGAGGGGCGTGCAGTGGGGCAGGATTCCTAACCCGATCCAACCTCGGGTCGGCCCACTGCAGTCGCCCACGCCTGCTGTCGCTCACTTCTGCTACTACTATTTCTACTGCTGCTGCTGCTGCTGCTGCTGCAGTCCTGCTGATGCACTGTGCTGCTGCCTCTTCTGCTTGCATGGCAGACTACCATCTGCTTGTGCCACATCCCAAAAACGTTTGGGCCGAACCCCCCCCCCCCCCCCCCTCAGGTTACCCACGGCTTACCCTGTGGCGGGATACCCCGTGGTCCTTGTCTAGGTGACCCGCGGGTAACCTCGACCACAATCACCTCCCGTGGTGACCCCGAGGTCACCCATTGGAGACCCCTCCCATCATGCGGGAGCAAATCACACGCGAGTCGCTTTCGCACTATGCTATACATCGCCAACATTACAGAATTTTGCAAACAGTACGTGAACGACTACCTACAGTTTATTGGCGAACAAATTAGCGTTAAAAAGAAAACAAAAATCTGATATAGCCACAACTACTTTTGTTAAAAACAAAAATTAATATTGCTTAGTATAGTTTCGCAACAATGAATTCCACCATAAATGAGATTTGACAAATTCACATATTATTTTTTTATTTTGTGACTGGCTGCAGTGATTAGCGCTTTGCACATTTTGATCTGCACATTTCATATACAACATTACGAACAACAATGTTACTAATTGGCCACTTTCTAGCATGCACCCTACATGCAGCATGTTGTAGACACTATAATACTCACTAAGGAAAGCTCCTGCACAAACCTCACTACCCAATGCATTATGTTGTTCTCCTACAGCATACAATAACAAACGAGATAGCAGGAACAAACGACATAGCAGGTTCTTACCTCACGAATACATGACAAAGCATGACAAAATCGCCTTCCGTATTCTGCATAGAGTGGCGACATTCAGCCAGGGGGGGGGTGGGGTAAGAGTGAGGAATGAGTAGTGAGAACAGGAGAAATATTAGTGCACGAGGAAACATATAGAGGACCCGGATGGATTGGGAAACAACGTTGTCACGCCGCTGGTGTCTATTATGCACCGAATGCTCACGAGAAAAGAAGTCTTTCCAGATAGGAAGCTAATGTCTTGGTGATACGCCATCTGCAAAACCTTGCGGTGAAGGCAACGAATTGCAAGGAAACAAATCGTGTGATGGCGAGAAGGCATGAGAGAAACCTGGATGCCGACAAATAAAACGGCGGCAATAGAAAACATAGTGATGCCATGAAGCAAGCGGAATGAGTGACGCTCATCCTGAAACCCCATCGTACAGCATTTCAACTCACCTTACGACGAGCGCCAATTCTTAGGTCGATACGCGTAGACCTTGGGAAGATCATGCATCACTCCCGTGTTCGATAATCTGCCATGAAGATACGATCGTGAACTACGATAGATTAGATGCAAGTCATTGAAACAGCGGCAACATCTAAAATACTATGACATCGCTAGTAGAAAGGGGAAGGAGCCTATTTCCTAAATGTGTAAGCAAAACCTAACCACCATTAGAAGCTCATCATAGTTAATCGAGACAACCTGCTACTTGTTCAAGTAAGCAGCGTGGAGCTCTCGTTGTAACTGCTCTACGTGAGTATCATGAGCTGAAAACGACATAAGGAATGACGAGTGAGAAACAGGATGGATGAGGATAAGTACTTGAAAGGTGCTGGGAGAGAAGAGGCAGTAGAAGGTGTTGTCGAAGAGCTCCGATTGGTTGGTGAACTAGATTGTGCCACGTAACCCAACCCATCACTGGAACTACCATATGTTGAACGATGTGATAGTAAACCCAGAATCGGAGAAGACACAATCGTAATTTGTCAATTCGACATGTTGAGAAACGAAGTGTACAGTAAAAGGCTTACCCACCATTCCCGTACGTGGCTGCCTTGGCAGATTCAAAGTAGTGACAAAATAGGCAGGGCCATGAACTTTCCCGCCGAAGTTGGTTGGGGTAGCCTCGGGGTACTCTCCCAAACCGTAAACCGATTCGATTGGTCGAATGTTCTGTTACCACGTTGGGCGCTACGGTTGGCGGTTGTCGCTGACGTCGCCACCGTCTGGGGTAAGCTGTAGGTAACTTTAGAGTGAACTTGTGGGTCTCCTTGTGAGGGTGACTCTGGGGTCACCATCATTCTCAAAGTGATTTCGGCTGAGCGAATTTTGGGATGCAGAAGGAGAAAGCTCAGCTGTCAATTGCATGCTTCCTGAGATACCATCTCCTTGTGGCAGAATCTGAGAACCAACGTCTGGCTTCATGCTTCACATGTGAGATCGGTCGCCATTGGCATGCCTAGGCATGGCTGGAAAGCATGTTTTTCCCTCATGACCTGCCTCTCCTGCTCCCTCCCACCCCCCCGGTGTGGGCTGGACAGCAGGGTGCAGGGGAACACATGTATCACGCTGATTCTTGCCTAGTCACCTTCTGCCCCTGTCACCTTCTCCCTGTCACCTTCTCCCTGTCACCTCCTCCCTGTCACCTTCTCCCTGTCACCTTCTCCCTGTCACCTCCTCCCTGTCACCTTCTCCCTGTCACCTTCTCCCTGTCACCTTCTACCTGTCACCTTCTCCCTGTCCCCTTCTCCCTGTCCCCTTCTCCCTGTCACCTTCTCCCTGTCACCTTCTCCCTGTCACCTTTTGCCCCTGTCCCCTTCTCCCTGTCACCTTCTTCCTGTCACCTTCTGCCCCTGTCACCTTCTCCCTGTCACTGTCTCTCCTTTTCCCCACCTCTCCCCACTCCCCTCTCAGGTTCGGGCTGGACAGCAGGGCGTTGGGCCACACCAAGTTGGCACGATCCTGCACACACTGCAAACTCTTTGCTCAGATTGGGGCACCTGCTGCGTTTCCAGTGCACTCGCGGCATGACTTCCTCACCCAACCGTCGCATTGAGCATTACACGACCTAAACGAAAGCTTCAGATTTTGCGGGTCCTAAGCTTGGTGTCTGCTGTATGGGTCTTTAGACTCGACGAGAGCTGAGTTTTGAAACGCGCACATGTTTCACACTAGCTATGTTTTGCAAGTGCTTATGTAAGCAAAATAAAAGGTTCATGTAACAAGCCTGTAGAAAGAATGGAAGTTGACTAGAAAACACATAACATCAAAGGTGCTCTAAAAGTCTATATGTCTTAACAATCTTGTATTGTGTCGTACTCCTGACACACACACACACACACACACATACACACACACACACACACACACATACACACACACACATCAGTTGCTCCATCAGTAAGAAATTTGCACATCAGCATTTGATAGTATGATCTCTTTTCGTTTTATTTCGCCTAACTCGTTGCAGCACACACTCACATTGGACTGACGTTTTTCCCATATGGAGGTGCATCATCACCCTCTACAATTATGAGGCAGCTTAGAGATTATTCACACTCTTGTAAGGGCACAGACCCATATAGTGAGTGTCATAAAGGCGAAACACCCATTATTCACAGCTCAGACCACGTCTTATAAATGTGAATCATCCTGTTATCCTGAGGCCTGCTCTCCAATCTTCATAATTTCCGTGTCGAGGCTTGCGACACCGGCGACAACATCCTTCATCTCCTGCACCTGCGCATCCACCTTGACTGCAGCACACAGCACCTCTTTCCCCCCCACTGCCTCGCGAATGGCCTGCAGCTCGTTGGCAACCTGCAGCATGCTTGGGCGGTCTGCAGTGCGCTCTCCAGTGCAGGCGAGGGAGATCTGAGCCACTCGCAGCACAGCTTCAGCAGGGGCGTCCATGGTGGGGTCCATGAGGCTCCCCACGTCATTCTTGGACAGGCACTCCGCCACCTGAGGGGGTTGAGAAGATTGAGGGTGGGAGAAGGTGGAGAGTTTGGAGAGGGTGGAGGGTTTGCAGGGTGTGAAGGGAGTGTTGAAAGGTGGAGCAGGTGGAGGGATTGGGAGGGGACATATATGGTATTCAAGAAGCTGGAAATATTTCCTTTGGAGAATATGCTATTTGAGTCTTTGGAAGTACCGGCAAGTGGTGCTCACCCACAGAGTGATCTGACGTCCCTGTGAGGACCACTAGTGTAAAATGGACGAGGAAAGAAAGGAAGTACCACAACCACACATGTGGTAGTGGCGGAAGGTGGTTTCATGGGTTGAGGTAATTGCATACGCGGTGGTCCCATGGGATAAGCACTTACCCACGGAGTGATCTTCCAGCTCTCTCCAGCAGTTTCCGAGATTGGCTCTCGTCCCGTGAGGACCACCAACATGAGCACTCCAAAGCTGAAAAAAAAGCGGACATGTTCAAAGGCACAGAATGTTCAGGGCACAAGATGGCAGAGGAAGAGAAGAGGGGAGAGGCACATGCTTTTCAGATAAGTTTTATTTCCTGACCGCAACATGTACAGGTCCATATATCACACACACATAAGATTTGGGGCGGGTCTTATTGGGTGCTGACTCCTACTACAATGCATTTCTAGTTTCTCCTTTACTGAATACTATGCACTTCCAGCAAGGACTTTTGTACGCATCACTGCTTCACATGTACACCTCACTGGCCCACCTGCACACATCGCTGGCAGCGGTGCCTTGGAGTAGACTGGATCCCCATAGGGCCTTTGCAATGATCACCTCTACACCTCACTGGCCCACCTGCACACATCGCTGGCAGCGGTGCCTTGGAGTAGACTGGATCCCCATAGGGCCTTTGCAATGATCACCTCTACACCTCACTGGCCCACCTGCACACATCGCTGGCAGCGGTGCCTTGGAGTAGACTGGATCCCCATAGGGCCTTTGCAATGATCACCTCTACACCTCACTGGCCCACCTGTACACATCACTGCCTCACCTGTACACATCGCTGGCTGCAGTGGCCTTGGACGTGATGGAGTAGACCGGATCCACATAGCCCGGTGTGCCCATGATGCGCGTTGTGCCCACGGTTGTGCCCTCCCCCATCCTCAGCAGACCAAAGTCGGCAATCTTCACCTGGTGACGGCATTGTAGCATGAGGAATTAATCACTCAGTGAGAACTCTGGTCGCTTGTGATGCCATCCACAAAAGAGCATGAAATGTAAGTAAAAGGGTTTGTGAGTGGGCTGAGTAAATGGTTGCTGTGAGAAACGATATATGAAGTTGAAAGACATTCCAGCCATAGTTGGTGTAGTGTTGTGCCAATGACCCCTCGTTCAAACTTATATATATATATATATGTATATGTATATGTATATATATATCATCTTCACTAGACAGGATCCACTACGACGACCAAGCTTGCCTGCATGCTGTTGGTGATGAGGACGTTGGCAGGCTTGATGTCGCGATGCACGATGCCAAAGCCGTGGAGGTATTCGAAGCCCCGTGCCAAGCCGATGAGAATGTCCAGCCGCTGCTTCAGAGTCAGAGGGCAGGATGCCTCTGCAAGAAACACGTGGCAGGGGATGAGTGGAAAAGGATGAATGGTAAAGGACGAATGGCACAGCATATGATTGGCACAACATATAATGGCACAGCATATGATTGGCACAGCATATGATTGGCACAGCATGAGTGGCAGAGGATGAATTGCAGAGGATGAATGACAGGGGACGAGTGGCAGCAGACAAGTGGCAGAGGATGTGTAGAGGATGAGTGATAGAGGAAGGGTGGTAGAGGATGGGTGGTAAAGCGTGAGTGGCAGAGCATGAATGACAAAGCACAGGTTGCCTCTGCAAGGATGTGCAGCATAAGTGGCACATCATATAATTGCACGGCATATTTATGACACAACATCTGCGCGGCACAGCACGCCATCTGCGTGGCACAGCAAAAAACACGCTGGAGGAGTATCACGCATACTTGGACCAATCCATCTGTTAAGGTCGCCATTGGGCACATATTCATAGATCAGAACTTGCTCTGGCCGAGTCCTCAAGTCTCCTCCGATCGCAAATCCAAGGAGCTTCACAATGTTGGGATGGTTCTTGTCGGCCATCTGCTGGATCTGATCCACACAGCCAGAGGAAAAGAAACAAATATGATCAGGGATGACAGAACAAATGGGAAGCAGCCAAGGGAATGTCCTAAATTTACCAGCATTGAAGACACGATCTATAATTAGTTGAACAGCAAAAGACATCATGGCAATGTAACATTTCAATAGAGCATATAAATCTTGACGTGGGATTGAAAATGATGTCACTGACACATGCCATCTTATCACGGCTCACCATGGTTCACCATGGCTCACTGACAAAACATACCAGTGCAATAAAATTTGCAACCTTCACATGTGCAGCTCACTCACTGACCTCTTTCTGAAAGTCCACGTCGATCAGCTTGGCGCGCTTGACAGCCCACATGGTAATGCCATCGCGGGGAGACACACCCTTGTACACATCGCCAAAGGCACCCGAGCCCAGCTGGTTGTCCTCGGACCAGTCATTGGTGGCCTTGAGGACTTCTGCTAGTGAGAATTCGGTGCAGTGCGAGGATGCCAGGCTGCTCCCCGAGCCTGCTCGTGGGGTCATATGTGAAAGGAGGTGCATGGGTGCAGGGGAAAATGCCTGGGCACGAGTTGAGTGGAGTCGAGTCAGGTCGAGTTCGGCCGGCCTCAGTCGAATCATGTGACGAGTCGAGTCCCATGACTTGGCCCAACATTCTAGGGAATTGATTTGCGGCGTGCCAATCAGTTCACGGGATATTCTACACAGAGCCTCTACGAATCTTTGCAGCTCCAAAACCTGGAAACTGAGATTTAGACCATCTACTGCCTCAACACCTTGTGCCACTTAAGTTCCAGAGCTGTGTGGCCATGCATACAGGCCTGTACGCTGGGGATTGAAGTGAATGCGTGCGCCAAGCCACGCTGTTAGTGGGGAGTCGATCTCACTCATTTCATGGCAAGAGATTTGAGAGCTCGGTTTCGGCTGCTGGATTTTGTCGAGTCGAGCATGATTAGTCTTGCAGACTTGCATGCAGATGTCTAAGTTCATGCAATGGAGAACTTGCTCCTCACTTATCGCCATGGTTGAAACAAGACAGGGTTTGGTTATTCAGAATGAACTCTTCTGGTCGCTTTGTCTCCCTACCTTGTGGTTTCAGCTTGATCTTGTGTGTGAAGTAAAGCAGAGTTGCACCAAGAAGTAGGAGAATGACCATAGCGGCAACAACAATGCCAATGATGGCGCCCAATGACACTGTACCCGCACCTCCTGCTGAGGAAGAGTTGCAGTGGGGATTGCATGAAGGTTATAACTAGAAGAGTTATCAAGAGGGCGTGATAACGTGTGAGCAATAAACGTTCAGCCAAGCAGGCAAGTGCGCAAAAAACGATCAGAAGGGTGATGCTCCGCGGTAAGAGAGCCTAGATTGATCGTAATTTTGCATGATCTCAATGCGAGAAAACTCTACACCCCTCTTATTGTCCAAAGTAGGTGAGGTGCTTTTTAATAATTCGGGCAAGCATTGTGTCATGCCTTGTCCCATGCCTTGTGCCCATGCATTCTGCCATGCCTTGTGCCATGCATTGTGCCCATGCATTGCGCCATGCGTTGTGCCATGGCTTGTGCCATGCATTGTGCAACGCCTTGTCCCATGACTTGTGCCCATGCATTGTGCCATGCGATGTGTGTGTGTCATGTCTTGTGCCATGCATTGTCCCATGCTCTGTGCCATGCCTTGTGCTCATGCCTTGTGCTCATGCCTTGTGCTCATGCCTTGTGCTCATGCCTTGTGTTCATTGTGCTCATGCCTTGTGCCATGCCTTGTGCCATGCCTTGTGCCATGCATTGACATGCCTTGTCCGTGCGTTGCCTTGTCTTTTGCCATGCCTTGCCACGCGTTGCTTGCTGTACTCTGAAATGCCTTCCTCCATGCATCGAGTTTTGACTCTTGAGACCGTACTTTGCTGATGTTTATTTACTTGCCTGCAGATTGGTAGCAAGTCTTGCAGAAGGATTGACATGTGCCACAAAAGGCTGCGTTGGGAGATTGTGTTGTGCCACAGGCGGAGTAGTCAGGTGGGCATACGAGGTTGGTGCCAGAGACGTCACTGCAGTGGAAACGGGAAATGGAAAGGCGGAACTCATGGGCACAACTGCACGTACACTTTTTTGTAAGCTGCGAAAAGCTGCAAGACTCTACTAATCCTGCAAGAGTGCTCTTTATGGCCCACCCATGTCAAGTATATATCACACTGCTTACTTTTTTTTTTACACCTTTGGTACTTGCTGAAGCCTACTCACGGGTTCAGTTCCAGTTAAGTATCTTCTCAAACATACTTAGAAGTTTATTCCAGACTGGTACTTGCTCAAGCATACTCACAAGTTCGGTTCGGTTCTGGCACTTTCTCAAGCCCACTTGCTCAGCCTATTACAAGATCAGTTTGGCTTTTATACTTGCTCAAGCCTCTTACAAGGTTTGTTCGGGTTTCATACTTGCTCAAGCCTACTTACAAGTACTTCAATAAAGTGAAGCCTCCAATCTCAGCTGGAATCTCACCGCTGAGATCATTATCAGAAAGGTTTCTGGTCACAAGGGGTGGATGAAAAGTACAGGAGAAATCTCAGTTAGCCTAGCCTCCTGCACACAGCAACGCAGCGCCGTGCATCCATCTACATGAAGCAACGCAACAACACATGATTGAACCATGTATGGCGGGTTGGTCCAACGGGACTGGGAAACAACTACTGAGAGAAGATGCATGGTGCTGGCAAACCACTGAACTGGTCACAGGTCGTCCCAGAATGCTTAGGAACGGCAACTGGGGTGTGGAGGGGCCACAAAGCGCTAATGGAAGTGAGTTGATAGATCTAGATCTGTTTGTAGTCATTAGCTGATCACGCTCTCAGAATTCTTTGAAACAGACTGTGGAGGGCCAAACAACAACGTACAGATAGTTGAGGCGATCAAGCAATTCAAAGTCACTGAATATGTTGCCACTGAGGGAATTGGATGAGAGATCCCTGTGCATTGTGTGTTGTGGGAATTGGATGAGAAAAAGAAGAGATGAGTATAGCAGGCATGGCGGCCCACGGGGGTTCGATGGGTCGAGATCCCATCAGGTGGAGAGCACTGTTGGGAGCACGGAGGAGAACAAGCAGCCTTCGCTGGAAGCAGGGAGGGTGGGGGGTGGAGGGGAATGTAAGTAGTTGGGGAAACGTAGTTTAGGTTGTGGCATGAGGGAACGCAAGGAACTGGGATGGTCTTTGAAAGAAGAATGGAAAAGGGCACATGGATGGGCGCACAGCACACGAGCTATGCGAGTGGGAAATGAAGAGCAAAATGATGTGGGAGAAGACAGAATTCCACTTCACAAACTCCTGCAAGTCTGCGAGCTTTCAAATGCAGTGCACCGAAACTGTGGGAGCGTTTTGAATTAGAGGCAAACGAACTACTCCATAGTATATGACCGCAATCCATCAGCATTGGTTCCACCAACCAACTTGAAGTAAATTGGAATAGCTAGGTCCGTCAAGGGAGTGGTCATGAGCCTATTGTAAATACATGGCTATCCTAGCTCATGACGAGCCTACTTGGCTCGGACGAGCCAAGCCAACCTGGCAAGAATCTAGTTCTGTGACGGCCAAAGGTCGGCCATTGCTCAACCCGAAAGCCTCAGGCCAGCCCGACCAACAATGCAGGCTGGACAAGACCAGCATGCGGCACTAGTTTTGCTCATCCCTAGCCTAGGAGTGGAGGACAGGAGAAGGAGATGCAGGACATTCAGCCTGGATTGGCTGTCGAGATGCTTCATACAGATAAGTGAGCCAAGAAAGCATGGAGATGCCATTGGGAATCGAACCCGCCAAGATGTTGTTCGACAGAGACCTGTGTGTGTGGGTTGGGGTAGAAGTGAGGAGATGAGATTAGAGGCACACAAGTTCAACCTAATTGGCGGATGAGGAGAGCATGGTGAGAGACAGGCATGAGTAACATTTGAATCGAACTTGAGATTGAGTTAATTCACGTTACTCGAATTGACCAAACTTTTTAAATAACACAGTCCAGAGTGCATCGAATGGCATCAAACATGGGCCTGGGAACAAGGTGCAAAATAAGAAGAGTTTTTTAGTCAAATTGTGACTAGGGATGAGCAAGGGGCGAACACGAACATGTTCGCGTTCGCCCCAGCTCGAACACTGCCGTTCGGCGAACCGAATTCGCCTGTAGGGCGAACATCTTGCATGCTAAGGCGAACACGAACGTGTTCGCCCCTGGGCATCCTTTGTTATGCTCAAAATACGCAACGGCGGGCAGGGGAATTGCGGGAAACTGGGGGAAAATATCTAGGCTGGATCAGCATTTTGCGAGATTTAGTTACGGATCCATAGTTTTTTTTATCCAGCTCGCCACCTGGATTTCCCCCCACGTAAGGCGAAATGCTCTCCCCGTTCTATATCTACGAAATTTGCAATTGCTCGCCAACCCCCCACAACCCCCCAACTCACGAAATATGCAAACGCTATTCCTGTCAATCCCATGCATACGAAATTTGCGAATGCTTACCCCCAACCCTCAACTTACGAACTTCTGCGATATCCCTGTCTAATCTTTTCCCGAAAACCTAAATCTCGCATACCCAAGTCTATACAGACTAACCTAAGGTAACTACTTAATTACGCTAAGTCCTAATGAGGTGATAACGGCGTGATGTGTGGGGGGCGTGGTAGTAATGGCTGCTGCTGAATAGCGCGACTAAGTTTGAGCTCAAATTTGAGCTCAAACAGAATGTCCCGCAACGTAAATTGTAGCCCGCCGGGACAGTCGCGTCGAACACATTCGTGTTCGTTTTTGCCCCGAAACGAACACGAACGCGTTCATGTTCGACGCGGCTCGGCAGCAGTAGCGGGGCGATCACCGAACGTGTTCGGGCGAACACCGAACACGTTCGCTCCGAACATTTTTAGCCAAAAAAAAATCCTGTTCGGTTCGCCTCGAACGTGTTCGTTTCCATGCTCATCCCTAATTGTGACCGTAAAATTGTTGAGTGCAATATGCGTTTTGCACGTCAACCTACCGCCTATTCGCCGTCGGTGAAGGTAAATGAAGTTTTCTGTTTGAAGGTAATTTGTTATGTGTGAGGTGCGCATTTCTGAGCTTTACGTTTGGGCGTTTACGGTTCGTGAATCGCCTCGACTATTCATGAGTTATGAGCGTTTTCGTGAAGGGTTGCATTTGTGAGTGTTCATGAGTTTCCATAAGTGAAGGTGAGTGTTCGTGTCATTTTGTAAGTTCCGAGATTTTGTGTGCGATCGTGTTATTTCATGTGTTCTGCGAGTCACGGGTTTTCGTGAAAGTGTTGTGGATGTTCATGAGTTTGTTTGTGAAGCGTTCGTGTGAGTTCATGGTTTGTAGGTGAATTTTAATAGTTGCGTTTTCAGTTGTTTTGATGAGTTCGTTTGTAATTTCGTTTTTTCGTTTATGATGTTTTAGGGGTTTCTCCCTATCGAGGTGGTCAAGGCTCGAAGCCATGAGCCCGAGCACTGTTGCGCCTTAGGCGCAATCATGGGGAGTGTGCCAGTCAAGGCACACGCGCGGCCTGAGGCCGCAAAAGAATTCCTCGCCACACGCGCGAGTGTGGCAGTGAGGTGGCGCGTGGGAAAGGACGAGGGCATGTGGGTCAACAATTGAATTGTGGGACCCTCGAGCTGTTTGTCCTCATTAGCCGGGAGGAATTTCGCTACGGGGTGTTTCGCGAAGCGCGCGATTTACATTCGAAGCTGGTGCGAATTGTGCGGGAGTGATTTCGGTGACTTAGTAATTTCATCGCGTAACTGCGCCATTTCTTCAGGAGATTCCGTAAGCTGTCACGAGTGGTCGCCACCGAGCGTCCACGAGGCTTCGCGGACAAGTATGGCCTGCATAAACGTTCGTGGGCGAGTATGTCCCACTGGTTCCGCATAGAGAAAGTTGGCAATTCAAAATATGGTTTTAGTTGTCACTTTGGTGGGCTGGTAGCTTTCGCTTTTGGTGGGTTAATATAAACTTGTGCTTGCGTTTGTTTGTGAACAATCTTTTGTGACTGAATATTACTCTTACAACGTATTGACGTGAAGAGTTTAATATGCACATGAGCCAATCGATCGATGTGACGCTGTGCGAATAACTGTAGGAATACTCTAGTGCTCTCGATCGAACTTACACTTGGTGGAACTCTCTACAAACATGGACCCTTGGGTAGGGGCTGGCTTGCCTAGCACCCAAAGACCCTCAGAGGTGACCTCGTGGAGTCCATCTTTTGTGATTTAATCGAAGGGCATAGAGCCTTCTAGATCTCACAGTTTGTAACAAAAATATGGCATCATAATAAACAACCGTATAAAACATAAATAATTTTTTATTTGCGTGAAAAAACGGCATCTTTTTTCCAATACAGAAAAAAAACCTGCAAGAAAAGGATAAAGTGGCGAGTTTTTTGCTAAGCATTTTGCCAAAAAAAAAAAAAATTGCAAATTGGCCCTCTCGGCAGGTCAGAATTCTACTCAGACAAGAGCATCAGGTTGGCCCGTCCCTAGTGGGTACCGGTCGGATCGAGTCAGGTCAGTACCCCAGGGAAGACGTCCCGGTCCGTGCTCTTCGCGTTTACGACATTCTAACTGTGGAAGCGTTCTCAATCAAAGCCAGACAAACTACTTCATGTCCACGGTATTTGACCGCAATCCATCACCATTGATTCAGCGCCACCAACCAGCCTGAAGTTTTACAGAATAGGTAGGTCCGTCTAGGGAGTGATTGGGAGGTTTCGCAGGTTAATGGAAGTGGCCAACGTGAGCCTCTTTTAGAATCATGGCCACCCTAGGCTCGAGATGAGCCTACTGGGCTCGTCACCTGTCGGACAAGCCACAAGCCAACCTGGCAAGAATTCAGGTCTGTGACGGCCAGAGGTTGGCCATTGCTCAACCCGAAAGCCTCAGGCCAGCCCGACCAACAATGCAGGCTGGACAAGACCAGCATCCGGCACTAGTTTCGCCCATCCCTAGCCTAGGAGTGGAGGACAGGAGAAGGAGATGCAGGACATTCAGCCTGGATTGGCTGCCGATTGTGTCTGAAAGGTTCTAAATTTGATGTGACTGTTGGTCATGTTCGTGCTTATCGACAGGCTTAAACAGGGTGCTTCATACAGAGAAGTGAGTTGAGCAAGCATGGAGATGCCATCAGGAATGGGACCCGTCAAATTGTTGTTTGAAAGAGACCTGCATGTGCGTGGTGTGGGTTGGGGTAGAAGTGAAGAGATGAGATGAGAGGGCACGGACTGAGTGAGGGACAGCAAGAACACAAGTCAACTCAATTGGGAAATGAGGAGAGCACGGCGGGAGACAGGCATGAGTAAAATCGAACCGCACTTGAATCAATTCAAGTTCGGTTCGGGTTGACCAAATTGATTCAGATAACACATTTCGGAGTGCATCGAATGGCGTCTTAGATGGGCCTGGAATCAAGGTGTATTTGTTTGTTCTAGTAAATATTGACCGTAAAATACGGTATCATAAAAAACAACCGTAAAATGAATAAAAAACGTAATCAAATTTGGGTAAAATAAAAACTTTTACCTTTGTTTTGGGTATTTGATATGTACAACGAACAGAGCAAGCATACATAAACAATAGCAGTCGTGACTGTGCGTGAGGGGGGCCACATGGCCACCCCAATTGCGGAATCCAAGGGGGTGATTTATCCTCGGGAGAGCCAGATAGAGGTGAATGCATTTCTCCACGTCCATGACTTGCTGTTCTTGTCCCTGTTCCGAAACAGTAACCTATTCTCTCCTTCCATCGTGCGGCGAAATTTCTTCTCCTGCCTCGTGCCCTGACGCTTTCTCCATTGAGCGTCACTCGTCCTCTGTAGATCCTTGCATGCAAGCGAAAAGCAGTTTCAATCCGACGGAGCACCTTCCTCGCCCGAGAATTCGTGGTAGGCTAATTGGTTATGAAGGTGGAAATAAAAGGGAAAGGCATGGGGATGGTGGCTAGGAGGGGCATGGAGAGATTGACTGCACACCGCAAAAACCAGCAAAGCACTGCTACTCTTTCAAGAGTGTTCTATTTGGTCCAACCATGTGATCAGAACAGCCTATCTCACACTGCTTACAAGTTCGTTTCGGGTTTGGGACATGAACAAGCGTACTTACAAGCACTCCAATGCAGTTTGTTGTTCAATACTAGCTGGAATGTACCCACTCAGGTTATTAGCAGCGTAATTTCTGGACACAGGGGAGGAAAGCATGGTTGTAAGCCCTGTTAGCCTCTTTGAGGAGGAACGCAGTGCCGTGCGTGCATCAACCGATACACATGACAGCGTGCACCCATCTGTGCAGCCAGACGGATTCAGATGGATGAATGCATTCAGATGGAGGAGCCCGGCAATCCAAAGGCATGAAAACATCTGGCCAGAATATAGATGAAGACATCATAGAAATACAGATGGCAGGATGGTACAACAACATTGAAAAATAAATCAAGAGGCAACGTATAGAGAAGATGCACCGCTTTGAAATAGCAACTGGGGTGACAAGCGTGTGTTGCGGACTGAGTTGCGGCACTGGGAAAATAACAGGTTGGTACAACAGGAATGGGAAATAACTCAAGCGCCACACACATATTATGGATCTGAGAGCGCGGTGCAGGCTTGGCACATGAGCGCGCGGTGTAGGCTTGGCACATGAGCGTGCAGTGCAGGCTTGGCACATGAGCACGCAGTGCAGGCTTGGCACATGAGCGCGCAGTGCAGGCTTGGCACATGAGCGCGCGGTGCAGGCTGAGCGATGTGCAGGCCTGGCACATGAGAGCACGGTGCAGCATTGGCTTTGTACATAACGGATGGGTCTAGAGAGATTCTTACAGATAGGCGATGCGATTACGGGAAACAAAGTCGACGACTATGGGGCCAATGAGGGAATTGGATGAGAAATTTCTGTGCATTGTGTGTTATGGGTTGGGAGTAGATGAAGAGATGAGAATAGCGAGCATGGCGGCCCACGGGGGTGTGCTGAGTCGGGAGCACGGAGGAGAACGAGCGGCATTCACTAGAAGCAGGGAGGGTGGAGGGGGGTGGAGAGGGATGTAAGAAGCTGGAAGGAATTCGAGCCAGGGGCACTCGTAAGCAACTCATACCTGTCGTAAGTTTGCATCCCTCACTGCTAGGCAAGGCATGAGAAAATGGCAAACACAGACAGGTTCGGCAATCTTAACATGTTTTTGTTTTACCGAACTAGAGATGAGCATTTGCCGGCCCGACCCGACCCGTGGTTTAGCCCGGGTTGGGGCAGTGGTTTCATTTGCCTGCCCCGTATGGGCCGACCTGACCCGACACGAGAAAAAACCCGACCCGAGCATGGAACTCGGGTCGGGCTTCGGGTCAAGCTTGACCCGACCCGAATTCGGGTCAAGACCAGGGGAATCGTGTCGGGCTTTTGACCCGACCCGATTTCGACACAGAGGGCACGAAACCCTAGTTCAAATTGTGATCGAGGGATTTTTTATCCCCTCGACATCAGAACCTACCCACGCTCTCAATCTTGCCTAACGGGAGCAAGCAAGTCATTTAAGTTTAGAAACAACTTAGTTAGGGCCCATTCAAACCTCATTGTCTGACATCTATAACTAGTTTACTATCGTATCCTGCTGTTCACGGAAACTCGCAATGCAGGAATCGCGTTTTACACCCCTGCTCCCACTAAAGGGCGGGTCAGACTGGCCTGACCCGACCCGACCTGTGACCCTGTCCAAGCTGACCCGAGTGTGTAGGCCCGGGTCGGGCCAGAACATTCAGGGACCTGGCCCGAGCCTGGCCTGACCCGACCCGACCCGGGAACCTGTGTAGCCCGGCCAGGTCGGGTCGGGCCATTTGCTCATCTCTATCCCGAACACTTCCAGAAAGGGAGGTGTTCGGGTTTGCCTTTAACCGGCGAACAACTTAATGTTCGGCCGGACACAAACATTTGGGTCAAACATGTTCGTGTTTGCCATATCAGCAGCCTTCGTTATAGTGACATAATACTGGGTGGTGGATTTTGGCGTCCAGGGTGGTTATACCTGGTGGACATTTGGGAGTGACGGAAATGAAACAACAAACAAAACAACGTGTTACACAAGGTATGCTTAGTACTGGTGCTTGTCGTCTAGGCTGGAGGAGGGGAAACATTCAGAATTCGAGCTAAAAAAATGAGCTCCACTAGTGTGTCTTGTCGAATTTAAAAAAAAAGGTTCCGGGAGTTTTCCAACGAACACATATGTTTTCGTCAGAAAGCGTTGTCGACCACGAACATGTTCGCCGTTCGCCGTGGCTCTCCTAGGCGGGACAAACCGAACACGAATATGTTCACCCCAAACATGTTGGACGATCCGAATAGGCGTTCACCATTGTGCTCATGTCTACGATTTCAACCTTGATTTTGAATTTCGAAGCCGAAACAAGCCCTCCTGTTTACCACTGAACCCCATCCGATCTCAGTCCCGACCAACTCAATATCGAGTGGAAGAGTTGGCTTTTCTCGTATGATGGCTTTGAGGAGTCAAGCATTTTGACATTATGTCAAAACGCTCGACCTAAAGCGCTTTGACACCCCTTGGCCGGGGAGATTGGCGCCGGTTTGTTGATCTAGCGGGCAGGTAAAAAAAAGCCTGGACATGCAAGAAAACCCGGGGTTCTAAGACTGTTGAGGAGGGGAACGGGAGTGTATGTATGGGTTTTGGGCAGGAGAGAAGGATTTCATTTCACCATGAGTTATCTTCATCAAACATGCATACATTTTTTTATATATAATATCGTAGTGAAATGCGTGGAGCGGACCCTATGGTAGTTAAGGCAGGACATGTTTGTGCTTTGTATTGGACTTTCTCTAAGGTAAAAAACACTTAGGCTGCTAGAAAAATATCGTCCCTACATCAACGTTTAAAGTCTCGACCTTACGTCAGCGTCAAGTAGGCATGAGCAGTCGGCCCGACCCGACTTGGCCGGGCCAAGCAGGTTTCCGGGTCGGGACGAATCGAGTCAACCCCGGGCCAGAATGTTGAAGACACTGATTTGACTGACCCGGGGGGGGGTACAGGGCGGGGTTTTACCTGACCCGACCTCGAGTCGGGCCGACACGAGGTCGGGCCAGGTTACATAAAACCAGTTGCTGTTCGGTTTGAGGAAAACGGGTTCATGTTAATTTTTATTGGCCGTACTGGTTTGAGTCGCACACCCGGTTCCGCAATTTTGTCGTTCTCGTCGAACCAAGGCCTGGGAGGAGGGGGAAAGGCAGGAAGAGGAGCTGTGGGGGGTATCCAGCCGGGCTTGGCTGACAATTGCAAGGTCATATACGTGTTGATCTGATTACCCAGAGCTTCTGACGCTTGCTTTCTTGCATGCGTCAATTATCTAGGTTATGCGCTATGCATTTATTCCCAAGAATATAAGAGCTGATGAGGTCTTTGCTAATGTTCGTGCTTCTCATCACGACGAGCTCCTTCTTACAAATAAGTGAGCTTAGAAAGCTCGGAGATGCCGTTGGGAATGGAGCCCGTCAAATTGTTGCTTGCAAGACTCCTGTGTGTATGTGGTGTGGGTCGGGGCGGAAGAAGTGAGGAGATGAGAATAGGGGGCATGGATTGAGGGATAGCAAGCACACATGGTCGAATCAATTGGGGGACGAGACGAGCATGGGGGGAGGTGGGCATGAGTAATAACCGAATCGCAGTTTAGTTCATATTCTAGTCGAGTGGCCAAACCGGTTCAAAGAACACACTCTGAAATGCACCGAATTGCGTTGAACGTGGGTCTAGGATAGGGATGAGCACGGGTCGAGCCCTGGTTAGCACGGGTCAACATGGGTTGGCCCAGGTCAGGCCGGCACAGTGTGAGTGTCGGCCTGCGGTCCAGAGAAATGTGACGGATGGAGGATGGCGAGAATTAGGCGTGAGCCGACCCAATTTGGCCAGGCCAGGCGCGTTTCCGTCCCGGATCGGGTCGGGTCAGGCAGGGGCAAGGTTTAGAATCCCTGACCCGACCCGGGGATACACAGCCGGGTCTTACCTGACCCGACTTTGGGTCAGCTTGACCAGACCACGCTTTCGCCCGTGATCTGTGCAGGTCGGCACTTTCGTTCACCGAAATCAGGTCGGGTCTATACACGACGCGGTTACCCTGCGTGTGACCCGATACCGGGTCGGGTCGGATAGTGGTATAGGAACTGGTTCTGTTGGACCTTACAGCGTCGCTTGGACCTTAGCTTACACAAGTTGGGTGGCCGCCGTTGGCTTGTGTGCCGGTGGTAAACGAGCTGATCAGACTCAAAGAGCCGGGGGGGCTTGTCAAAGACCAGAGTGATGCAAGCTTCAAACGTCATTTCCACCAGCTGGTACTCAACTACTACTTACCATACAAATTCTTTTGGTATGGCGGCTTCATGTCTGTTAAAGTTGGTGTTGCAAAAACCCAACCCTTTAGTGTTTCCTGAGGGGTGAGAATGTGATTCCTTTGCAAACATAATACTCTAGTAACTGACTTCAATCAACATTGAGATAGGCAGGTCCGTCCATCAACATGTCAGCGCCAACCACATTACATATGCAGGTCCGTCCAGGGACCGATGAGAAGAATTTAGGGGTTATTTGATGTGGCTGTCCATGATTCCATTGAAGCAGCATACATTTGACACTGGGGTTCCGGTTCTTACAGTGTGCCTCACGATTTCGGCCCCACCATGTACCATTTATAAAATTTAGGAACTCGCCCTGCCAAATGTATACTGCTGCTTTAGAACCCATCGCCACCCTAGCTAGCTCATGACGAACCGCCAGGCTTAAGATGAGCCTCCCCAGATCGTCACCCATCTGACAAGCCTCGATCCGACCTAGCCATAGTCCTGCATCGTGGCAAACCGGCCAATGGCCTGCACTTTAGACAGTGGTTGGAGCTGGCTCGTCACAAGCCGGGCAGTGGAAGGTCATCGCTCACGTCTACCCAAGGGAGCCGGCCCGGCCAGCCTAAAAGCAGGCAGGGCCAAGCTAGCATGCGGCCCTAATCTTGCTCATCCCTAGCCATTCACTTTCCTAATACCCTATCCTTGTTTTTCTTTCTTGCGTGTGACATCGGGATAACGTAACTTTGAGTTTTAGAATCTATGTTATCTTTGATCGTGTCCGTGCTCATCATTAGGTATATATGAGGTGCTTCATACAGAAAAGAAAGCTGATCAAGCTTGGATATGCTGTCGGGGATGGGGCCCGTCAAACGGTTCATTGCAAAAGACCTGCGTGTGTGGTGTGGGTTGGGGTGCAACCACCGAGGAGATGAGAATAGTGGGCATAGACCGAGGGACAACAAGTACAAACGGTCAAGCCAATTTGGGGATGAGATGATCTTTGTGGGTGGCAGGCACGAAAAAGAATTCGATTTCAGTTCGGTCTGAGGCAAACAGTTCGTGCCGACTCCAATTGGCCGAACTGGTTCAAGTCGCACACATGGGTTCGACGAGTTTGTGGTTCTCCTCGAACCTGGGCCGGGAAGAGGGGTTGCAGGGTATTCAGCCTCTTGGCTGCCAATTGCATGGCCATATATGTTTGAATGACCCAAAACTCCTTAATATGAGACTTCGAGACTTTCTTGCTTGCGTGTGACATCTGTCTAGGCTATGAGACTTTGGTCATGTTCGTGATTATCGCCAGGCTTGAACGAGGTGCTTCATACAGATTATCGACAAAAGAAATCTTGGAGATCTGGTTAGGAATGGAGCCCGTGAAGTTGTTGTGTGAAAGAGACCTGTGTGTGCGTCGTGTGCATTGGGGCGGAAGAAGTGAGGAGACATAAGGGGCATGGACATAAGAATAGTGGGCATGGATGAGAAAAAAGGGCATGGATGGATGGAGGGACAGCAAGCACACACTTGTTGACCCGACTGGGGGATGAGACGAGCATGGAGAGAGGCAGGCATGAGTAAAAGGTGAATCGCAGTTTGGTTTGAGGTGAATGAGTTCATGTTCAGCTTTAGAAGTTCATGAGTTCGGTTTAAGTTTGTGGTTCTCATCAAACCTGGGCCGTGGAGGGAAACGGTCAGCAAGAGGAGTTGTGGGGTATTCAGCCTGGCTTGGCTGCCACGTTGCCATACACAATTCATTCCCCAAAAGTCCTGGTTTTCTTGCTTGCGTGTGACATATAGGTTATGCGGCTATGGATTTATTTTTGGGGGTTCATGTGATTTTAGTCTCCCTACATTTTTTTGTTGTCCGTCCATCTCTTAGTCTCCCTCTGCCTCCAGCCTGCCCTCTCTTGTCCCACCCTCTGTACTGACAAAACTCTCTTCTTCCACACCTTCCCAACCTCATGTGGTCGTCTGTCCTAAACTGAACATGGCCGAGGTTTGATTGCGCCTTCACCCCAGCCAGCTCATTTTCTGTGTACTCGCACCTAACTAACGTATCTTTTAACCCTTTGCCGTCCATTTCCCCCCCTAAGCGCTACAGCTTAACATGTTATTCAAAGCCAAGTCCAATGCATCGTCTAAATATCATCATCTACATCTCCTAGGCGTGTAGCAAGTGTTAGAACTGAGCTTGAAGTGATAGCGCAAGGCTCTTTAATTACACCGGAAATGAGCTGGGAATGGATGGAGAGGGAATTGGAGGCAATCATAGGGAGATCGGCTGCAATCTTCAATTGGTGGGTTGGGGATTGCATATGATCACATTTGGGTTGGGTTGGGATGTGGGTGTGTACATCCAGCCCAACCCAAAGTGGAAACTACACTATGCTATGATATAAACAGTACAATTATTGAGATTGAAGGCTAACACTAACAGCAAGACCTGTCGCACGTCTGTCCTTATCCAGTCGCTCGCTTTCTCTTGCTACTCTCCTGTCCTTCCTATCTCCCCACGGGCCCTTCCTACCCGATCGTGGGTCCATGTTGTCCTAATGTCTCCCTTCGTCTGACCAGGCAGCAGTATTCCCCAGCAGCTCCCATCGATCCTCCTCTTCGTCATCCCACGGCTCTGGCGGTCGCCAAGTTCCCATCACCATACGCCTCCTCCTCTCAGGTTCCTGTCGTGGTTTCCGGTGAGCGATACGCCCCCGCTGGTGTATGACTCCGCTTGCCTCCATCAGGACGTCCATTTGGCGATCGAGGAGCTCTTGCGCCTCCACTCCGCCTTGCCGCCTCCCCTTGCATATTATCAGACACATGATCCATTTCCGCCCCTTCATCAGGCTCCTCAAGCTCTTCTCCGTGTTGGCACTGCAGAACTTCATCATCCGCGTCTTCAGCTTGCTTTTCCCCACCCCGCGCAGTTGGGGTATCTTCATCTTCTTCCTCACTGTCAGCCTCGCTTGGTGACTTCGGAAAGTTCAGCTCGTCAGCAACATCCCGACGCCTTCCACCCGCTCCTTGCTGGCTGCCTGCCAGTTTCCAAGGGTCGCTGCAGGACGGGTGAGGCCTGGGCTCCGTCCTTGCATGCGGATCGAGCTCACCTCCTTCGCGACGTCCGCCGACGGGTGTACGGATCCGCGCGGTACACCGCCGTCCTTGGCGAATGTGCAGGCGACCTCCCGCGCTCCTGTGAGAGAATCCGTTGCGGCAGCGCAGATTCACGCCGCGTGTACGTTTGCTGCCACCGCAACTCGTGGCGGTCTTTCTCTCGTTTGGGAGAGATCCAGGCGCCCACATTCTGGCTACTCCGAGTGGCTTAGTCACATAGCTGTCGTAGCTTACATTGCTAACTTAAATCCACTGTAGTCAGTAAAAAAACGAGAGAACAAATTACTAGATGTTCTGGCTGACTATTTGACCTCTCTTTCCGAGCCGCCACCAATTCTGTGTCTCACCTTTGGAGTTGAGCCGTGCAGTACTAGGTTGGTCCTCCAGATTACCCCATCTTCAAGGTCCCTTGACTTCTTCAATTAAGCGCTCCACAGTTCTCCTAGTCAACAACTTTGCGTCACTCTCTGGGTAACCCAACTACTTCTACAATGGTTGAAATAACATTTCTGCACCTTACTAGCTCACGACAGAGATGTATTAGAACCACTCCTGTACACAAGACGCGCACCCGGCCTTGTATTAGACGCTCAGGTGACGTTGACCCGGGCAAGTAAATAAAAACCATCGGCAGGTAAAAAAACCGTCTAAGTGGGGGGGAGAGGTGGTTTCTGGACATTGCAACCACATTAATCCATAATTACTTAGATTTACATCAGGATCCCACAAACATAGTTAAACCTAGATTTAAGGTTTGTGAAAAGATTATTGGGTCGACTAGGAAAGAAAACTCTAAATGTTGACCTGATTCTATTTCATTCTCAGGTTCGGGTAGGGGATGCAATGCGGCAATGTGCGTTGGCTGGTGGAAATATGGTTTAGTAGCGATTTTGCTTGGTGAAATAGCAAAATCGCTCCCATTTGTTTGAGATTTTGCTTGGCAACAACACACTCATTGGGGTACGATGTCAATATTGACATTCCCGTCGAATTCACGAATGTCAATTTCGTGGGTCAATTTTTTCTTTCCGGGCTGCCCAAAAGAATTTCGGCGAAGAGTCCTGCGTCTTCGCATGCGTCCTGCATCCGGGGTTCCCCTCCTGAGCTTCTTTTCAATCACAAGATGTGTGTGCGTAACAAGCAGCACCGATTCCGTTGCGTAAAGAACCAGCCAACAATTTCCAAAAAATGTCGAACACGCGAAATTGGCGAATGATGAGTTTCTGCTTCAACATTTGCGAAAACAAAATGGGTGGGGACAAGTTTCAATCCGGCAACGTTTTCCAATGACTCTAAAATCCATTCGACAGATCTGGCGATTTCGTTTAGTTGGGACAAATCTCTCATCTTTCTTGCGACATATCTCTCATATTTCTTGCCAGTATTTACCAGCCGGGCATGTTCTAGACAACATAGAAATCACAAATTAAAACACAATCGTACATGAAGTTCTTCGAAACGGATTTTGAGTCACTTCCGACTCGCGGTTCTCCTTACTTGCCACGAGTCAGACCCAGCTCGCACTGTTTTTCCGAGTCACGAGTCGGGCTGAGTCAATTTTTCTACTCGGCCCTGACTCATCTCAGGTAAGGGCTGACTCGACTCGACTCAAGCACATGGTCATGACTGTCTAGAGTTTGATGTAGTTTAGTATCTTGGATTTTGTTGCTAATGAAAGAATTTCAGGAAAATCCATGTAAATTGTGGTAATATCATACAACCTTTGCGAAATTTAATGTGTGAAATCCTTACAAAAAATTTAGTCCGCTGAGAAACACGATGCTGTCAGGAATGGAGCCATTCAATGCGTTCTTTCTGACAGATCTGCGTGGGGAGGGGTGAGTCATAGGGAGTGAAGAGATGAGAAAAGTGGGCATGGCTGGAGAGAGGTCAAGCACGCACACACGACACAATGGGAGATGGGACGCAAACTGCAATTTGACGCAGCTCTAGCCGGTAGACATGATCAGGTCAGAAAAACAAACGCCGGTTTAGTTCAATCGGACCAAGTAGACCTGAGCAAACTGGCGAACACCTGTTCAGTTTGCTTCGAACACGTTCAGAAATAATATGGCACGTAAAAAAAAATAAACATAAAAAATACAAACACACACACACACACACACATGAAAAAAAAAAAAAACCGACACATGTTTACGTCGATTTGCAACATTGTGTGTCATGTCAGCCGCACAAAAAAACCCCGTGCTGTGAAATTAAAGGCAACCCTTCACCATTTCACTGTACTCATTGAGGTTGAAGGTTAGATTGATGTGTTGACAATTCGGTAAATTTCACCATCATTGCTCAATTTCACCATCATTGGGTAAATTGGCAGGTGGCACCGTACTGAGGTATCACCTGAAGACAACAAGCACCACCTCACCATCCTGAAGCTTGTGAGCACCAAACCATCATCAATGGGTTGGGGGTGTAGGAAATGCCCTAGCACCGGTACTCCCTCCAACACACAAGAAGGGCAGTGGAAGGTGGGATATGCAAAAGGTTTTCTTGCTTGCTCAGTAAAACAATGGCAAAGGCAGAGACAATTTAAAAAAAAAAAAAAAAAAAACAGCTCTATCCTAGCAACCACCAACTTGAAGCAGCTTACAGTTCGTTCAGATTGGTGAGCTTTCCAATTGCGGCTGGAATGGGTCCGTTGAGCTGATTATTTGTCACATTACTGGCCACAGGGGATGGAAACCGGACATAAAGACTGCCCAACTCATTGACAACTCATCTCAATGGAGAAAGGGCATGACCATGACTTTGTTGATCACTTTCTTGATCTTATGAGGAACATTTACGACATGGATACAAGAGAAAACTGAACGAGTGTTTAGTCCCACACACAGGAAATTCGGGAGTGGCAACTCCATGACTATGCATATTGTAGTGATTGGATAGATGGAAGGTGTGAGCACAATGTTTAGAGATGTTGATACTACAGTGTTTAACTGGTCCGATCCGAGGGCTGATGCACGCAGGCTTTGAAACTTGGGCGAAAAGAGCATGAAGGACACAGCAACGATGGACGGATACAGTCGGTGCTCTGAACACTTTTCATACAGATGCAACACACTCTCTCCCTGTAAATCCACAATTGCGATACCAGCATATCTCACACTGCTTACAAGATCTTTAATGAAACGAGGCTTAGAATTTCAGCTGGAATAGACCCTTTGAGCCCACAATTAGACATGGCCCTGGGGAAGGGGTTGTATAAAACAGTGAAGAAGGCGATGTTAATGCCGTGGACATGGAGTTACGCCTGAGCAAACGGGCGAACACCTGTTTGGTTCGTTCGAGACGAGCCGGACAGGTGATTTTGTTTTGCAAAAAAAATGTTTGTGGATGTTCGTGCTCGGTTCGTCGCGGCTAGCCGAGCCGCGAAGAACCGAACAATGTTCGTTTTCATCTAGCCTCTCCGACGAACAGAAATGTGTTCGTCGAAAAGATCCCTTTCCGACACTTTTTTAGGTCGTCACTGAACACTAGCTGAGCTCAATTTTTAGCTCGTTTTTAGCTAACACATCCCCAATAGCCTAGTCTAGAAGCACCTGCAGCGTTGCTACCTTACACACTATTTACATATGTTGGTGCAGACGATTTTCCATAGTCTATGTTAGTTTTGGGTAGTCGACAATAGGTTTACCAGTGCTGGCCCTTAGAAGCCTCCATGGCACTGTTATACCATAAACATTGGCAGAAATTCAGACTCCGCGGCCAAGTCCACGGTCATAGGCGGGTTCAGCCCGCGGGTTAATTTATCGAACTACTGTAGAAGGGTTTAGGGGTTTAAGGGAATGCCTAGTTCACCAGCAGCAGCAGGAGGAGGGTTGGGTGGTAACAGCAGAGCTTCCTTGCTATTTTGGGGAAAAAAAAATGTTAAAGGCAATGAAGCATATCACGTTTATCCTTTTCCTTATGAACCACGCGTTTTCTGTGTTGCACTTCTCTTGTCGTCATTTATTGGAATGGCCATTCACCCTCTAGCCATATCGCTATAGGCTTCCTTCATGGGATACCTTTCAACGCTGAGAATCTACTAGCACTGAAAGAAGGCATGAAAGAATGGGCACAAAAAAAAACAAAAACAAGACACACACACACACACACCAAAAAAAAAAAAACAAAAACACCCTCACTGTTTCACTGCAAGGTTCTTACAGTGTTTTCAATGAAGTGAGCGAGGAAATGCTATTAGGGATAGACCCATCAAGAGTTGTACTTGTCAAATCTCTATGTGAGGTGGGGTGGGTGGGTGGGTTGAAAGAAGGGAAGAGTTACGAGTGTGGGTTGAAAGGAAACTGGATGGAGACGGGCTGTAACGCGTGTGGGGCCTACATGTAAATGTTGAGTGCCTCCGCTATGCCTCAATTTACCCCTCGTTTTGACCCAGTAGCAAGGCGTTATACTGGTATTAGAGCCTAGGGTTTCAATTCTTGGCTGGTCACATTTTCCCACTAGTAGCGAGAACTTGAACGTGGTAACCCAGCTGAAGGTTCTCCAATGGCCTGCTCACCAGTGAAGTTGACGTAGTGCCCAGCGAAGCTGAGGACCTTGCGAGGGCCGACTCCCTGAAGTTTTGAACCAACGAGGATGTTGGCACCAAATGGGGACGAGTGTAATGCCTGTGAGGCTTACACGTGAGGGTTGAGTGCCTCCACTCCGCCCCAGATGCATACCTCGTTTTGACCCAGTGAGTATATACCGACTGACACTACAACGGGGAATATTTGGCACAAATTCTGCTGCAGGCAGCCGGCATCAATCAAAAGCAAGTATGCAGACACAAGCAGATTGTGAGGTCCAAAGTAATTGCACGCTTACATCGAGGTAATCATGCCTGAAGAGTCACAGGTGACTCCTTCAATCGTGCCACAGGTTGCACCCCTGGCCCAGCCAAGGAGCGTCTTTCCCCATGCCTTCTGGCAGTCCTCAAGAAACGCCGCTGGCAGTTGGGGGCAGGAGGGGAGAGAGAGAGACAGAGGCACAGAAGAGTCCTAGGGTGAGGAAACAGTCAGCACCCACGACCCAGATTTGGACCGTCTTCACCACCCTCTCCCAGCCTGGAAGCGTCTTTCCCCATGCCTTCTGGCAGTCCTCGAGAAACGCCGCTGGTGGTCGGGAACAGGAGAGGAGAGGAGAACGAGAGAGAACGAGGCACAAGGTTATGGATGTACTTGCAACCTGAGCTACGTCAGGGGCAGTCAGCTTGCAAGGAAACGCTGCTGCTACCCGTGCCTGCTGTGGTTACCGAGGAACGCTCAAAAACTCGCTCACAAAATGTGTGAAACTCACTTTGCTCAATCCATTTGAACATGTTTAGCATAGTGGTTGATGTGCCGCATGTTAAACCAGAGGTAAGGGCATTGGCAATTGACTCTCACTAGAGCCTTTATTACTTCAAAGAGGTCTTTTTTCCTGTTGTTGTTTTCCTGTCTTTTTTGTGCTCGTTATAATGCACCCAGCGAGCATCCGCGAAAGTCAGATTCAGAAGGAAAAAAGAGACAGAACCGCCAACAACAGGTATCGAACCTGCATCCCCAAATCTCTATACAAGCATAGTCACATCCGGGGCAGTTTTGTGTCAGTTGTGGTTCAGGTCACTTTGGAATTAGAAAACTTACTGACCTATAACTTCTGAACCTCAAGTCTTTGGTGTTATTGATAAAGTTAGAGCGGGGTACACCTGACGCATTATCAAGGATCACTTAGCTGAGATCACCGTACCCCAATCGTAGGATCATTGGTAGCAAAACAACAAATTTTGTGGGCACATAACGACCCTCGTTGATGTACCACTCCAATTTTGCATTGGTGATCCTCTGCGACCGGGCGACATCGCAACGAGTCACGAACGTTGATACTTCGCGTGCATATGCTGGCCGTGTAATATACTGAGACGAAACAACCTCATTGGTGAGATTTTCATTTTCGAAATGTTTTGATTTGATGCGACTTCCTTTCAGATGTGCGACCTGATTGCGAAAGGAATGTTTTTAGTCAACAAGGATCACCCTGTCTTTGGTACAGAGTTGCAAAGATCACCAAGAGATTGGCAGTCACGATGATCCTACGGACATCACAAAGATTGTGTAGCATTGACTACGCATGTTTCCGATCCCACCTCTGTTGGTACACCACCTGACACAGTGATCACTGTACTGTAGTAGGTGGGACACTGTTTTGCAAGGATCGCCGACGTGATCCTCAAAATGCAGCGATCTTTGCTTGGGTGTACCACGCTCTTAGTTTTGGGCCACAATGGGGTCAGGGTACGGGCCAGGTTTAGGTCAGCAACATTTTGGTGATGTGGGGAACAAAATTTGAGCATTACACCTGTTCTCCAATATCTTCACGGGGTGACATTCCCGGGTCGCGAAAACGATTGCCTGAGAGGGCATGAAAATAGACGGAGCAATAAAGTCCCGCTTAATTTCACACTCGAGCCGCAAAGTCTGCTGCTGACATGGACAAAAAGTGCACGACGATCTCAGGAAGTTTTTCCAGCCATTGCGAAATGGCAGCTCGTCTCCCAACAAAGTTGGGCTGAGGACCCCGAAGTGACACCGAAGCGCGGTGTGAAATTAAGGATAGTGAAAATATCGAAGAGCAGGTGTACTATAAGCATTGCCGAGGTATGGGTGGGATTGTTTAGGGTTAGGTTGCAGATACATCGCAAGCACTGTTTAGGACGCATCACGTGAAGTGGCTCGGCCGAGGATCTGCCGAACCGCACCAACGGGTTTGGTAAGGCAGGATCTGGGTTTGTGGTACACCCAATCTGCGACAACAGCTCTGTGGTCGCGCACAGAATCTCACAGGCAAACCCCCTGTACGCTAAGTTGCTCAGCAACTATGCGACGACAAGGGAAGACGATCGATCGTGACTGTCACTCGTGGCGCGATATTCAACACCGCGCCATCCAATTTCAAGATCGATACTTCACTTCGCTGTATCGATCGGGACCCGCGTAGGTGAAAGGACCGCGGGCACATTTTTACTGTACATTCAAGAACATTGGCGAAAAGCAGTTACCTTGTTGATTGCGACGCTGCAGTGCTACACCCAGCGCGCAAAACCGATTTTCCAGCAAATCGATCCGCTTCAGGGGATGAGTCCTTAGGGTTTCATCGTCGATTTTTCAGGGATTCCTCGGCGAACCACATACAAGGGTCGCTGGATTGGGGACAGTGGAAGTGACTCTACAGCATCACTTCGTCCCAAAATAAGGTATGATGGAAACCAAACCTAAGAACAGACGTATTAGATGGCATCGCATGAACACGTGGCGCTCGTGCCGTCACGTAACTGAAAAGAGGATCAGCACTACTTGTAGTAGTCAGTTGCATTGTGGCAGTGCAACCGGCTGATTGTTATTACGTGCTCGACAGGAACGAGGTACGAGAGATGTCGAGAAGCGACACTGATCGCTATTAGCATTGTGCGAAGGAGAGAGGGAGGCACCTTGAGTAGCGTTAATCACGGGCGGTTGCGCATGGCAAGAGACGAATGCAGAAAGCCAAATCGTGGCGGAGAGTGCAAGCCATGATGCTCGCGGCTGCATCGTAATTGGCTTAGGCGGCGGCATTGAGGTGTCGGCGCGGTCTGGAATTAATCCCGCGGTAACGTGACACGCATCTAGCAAGGGAAGTGGAGGGAAACGAGACTCAACTTGTATGCCACTGTGAGATAGTCTACGCAGCGGCGGCCTGGACAAGGGCCGACGGAAGCAGGGCTGACATGTGCTTGTGCCTCTGCTCCAAGGACGAGCTTAGGCCTGAGAGCAGCTGTGTCAGACGGACTTTGTTCGGAGAGGGGTGGTGCACGCACGGATCCTCACGAGATTCCCTCGATCATCGTCCGAACCGAACCTCAAACTCCAGGCCGAGCGTGCTTTGTAGAACTTCTCTGAACGGGCGAACCCATTTGTGCTTCCTGTGTGCGGTTCTAGTAACGAGACCCGGGCTGCAGACTCCGAAACAGAGTTTTGCTTCGGAAGCCGTTCCAGCGTCGTTCTACCGTTCCAGGGGGCTCCTGAAGTGTGAGTGGCACGTCACGTGCAGCTTTTTTTGGGCGAATCTTCCATATTCAAACTGGGTGTATCGTCTTGATGATGCCATGCTTACTAACAGACGCGAGGTGAGATCCCTTTTGTACGCTAACTTTTGAGAAGAAAAAAAATGCCTCTCCGAAATTCTTTTGGGATTCCTTCGCGGCGTAGAAACTACTTGAAGAAGCGCCAGCCAGCCGGCTGAGCCATCCTTAGGGCGCGTCAGATCCGTTACAAGGTGATTTGGCCGGAATTTGGTCGACAATTTGGTCGACTATATCTTTCGCCAAAGTCGACAACATGGTCGACTTCAATAACGACCAATATCCGGCCACATTTACAGGGCCGAAAAATCTGACACATTTGGTGGCCGATTTGATGGCCGCTTTGCAAATGTGTCAGATTTGCAGTTCGCCTGGGTCGCCGGATTGTGCGACGGAATCGCAGATGCAGTACTTGTGTGACACGTTGCGTCGCACGAGTTGGCGACGTCGCGTAGTGACTGTAGCGATCTCAGGTCGACAAATTGGTCGACTTTCGAGTCGACTGCACGTCGGAACTTTGTCGAATGCTGAACCGGCCATCAATTTTTTTACAAATGGCCGGATTTGGCGAACTCTTCGAAAATCTTTGCGGATGTCGCGAATGTGTTACCTCGCTAATTCCGGCCGGCCGGATTTTTCCGACAACGGATCTGACGCACCCTTATCCGCCCCCGCATTCCTTCTTGGCATGGCAGCTCCACTGGGGGGATCTGTTTTGCTCCTCCTCACACATCCTTTGCAGGTCTGACAAAGCGCGTTTCACGGCCTGTGTGTCAGTAAGCAAACCACGCAGGCTCGGAATAAGGCTATGGGCGGTGGAGGACAATTATCGCCATCGCCAGGAACAAGTCACCTGCTTGTGAGCGAACTGAGTGGCTGCCCTCATCTGATTCGTCGCAACAAAATCTGGAAGTCTCGTTATTGTTGATACCCTGTAACGAAACTCTAATCATTTATCAATAAAAATTCAAACTATTGTAGAAATGACTCAAATTATCTTGATCTCAAATACGAAGTGAAGATATTTTCGGTTTAATGGTTTCAATGAAATTTCTTAGTTCCCGTTTGTCACTAGGTGATACACACTGGAATGCGATTCGAGAATGAGCTAAATCGTCCCCATCCAACCAGCGCGTCAAATTTTGCTAACCAAACCGTTTCAGGTCGAATCACATCACACAAAGGTTTGATTCATAGCTAATGTCTATCTGGAATGTGCCTCGTGTCGTAATTGACCTGATTTCATTAGCAACACCTCTGCATTTGGTTCAACACATTCGCTCTGGAATGGCACTTGGTACAGCACTCAAGCTCCGTAATCTGCCATGATATTGCACTTCTGCCCTGATACGGCTCTCAAGCTCCATAATCTGCCCTGATATAGCACCAAGCTCTGTATTCTGCCCTAATAAGGCTCTCAAGTTCCGTAATCTGCCCAAACATGGCACTCAAGCTCCTGTAGCTGTAGCTCGCATGAGGGCAAAAAACTTCTCCACTGCATGAAGCAACATAAGCATCGAAAGGGCATGGGAAGAAATTTAGGTTCCCAATTCTGATCCCCACGCCTGTCCCTAAACCCTGTAGTTTTACATACGACGACGCTTCTTAGCTACCCCAAGACTGCAAAGATAGCAGCCATGTCAGTCGGACTGATGGAAAGACTGAAGTAACTTATAATAACTTCGGAAATGGGATGTTTTTTAACGAGTATGGCAATGGATCCACCTTGTAGAGAGTCAATGCAAGACTGCAAGGATGGCCACCATGTCATTCGGGCTGTTGGAGAGAAGTGGGGCTTATGATAGTGCACACATATATACTCGGTACAATGCAGATGCGTTTTGCTACAC